ACGCATCCGCTCCCGCAGCGGGCAATCCCCAGCGCCTCCCGGCGCGGAAGGCACCCAAAAACAGATGTGTCGAGGAGCGCCCCCCGCGGCGGAGCCGAAGCCATCCGGACGCGGCACCCTTCGCAACCTTGCTTTTTTCCCCTTGCCCTCTTTTCCCTCTTCCCTTGCTCAGAAGAAGAAGAAGAAGGAGGAGAAGAAGAAGAAGAAGAAGAAGGAGAAGAAGGAGAAGGAGGAGGAGAAGAAGAAGAAGGAGAAGCGCCATAAACCTAAACTTTTGGCGCTCCGCGCGGATTTCTTGGCTCCGCGCTGGGCAATCCCGGCGGCGCCTTCCAAGAAATCCGCACGGAGCGCCAAAAGTGTATGTTTACAGCGTTTTTTTCTCTCTGCCCTCCTCTCCCCTCTAACAGGGGAGATTGCGACCCCCACCCCAGGCTTTGGGCGAGGCTTTCGGATGAACCAGAAAATTAGGGCCAGCACTGGGATATTTACGATGGGGGGGCGTCCATCCTCGATAGGGGTGCGTCCGAATATTACCCTAGGGGCGTATCCCCGATATCCCAGGGTTTCCCTCCTTTTCTGGACGGCTTCATTCTGCGTCGGAAAGTCGGGGGGGGGGGAGAGAAAAATCTTCGGCCACCCTTCGTCTCCTCTTCCTCCCCCCTCCCCGCAAGATACGCACGAAACGTTATGTTTGCCGATGCGCCCTCCGGGCGCCGGGCTTGACTGACTGACTGATTTCCTTTCGTCCGACCCGACCGTGGGAGCGGAGAGCCGACTCGGGTGAACCGGGTTCGGCGGCGAGCGAGGGGGGAAATGAGAAGGAGAAGGCCTTCTCAGAAGGCGGCGGGACTTCTCAGAAGCCCTCGCGCCTTCTGAGAAGCTGTTTGTGTCTTCGGGGAAGGGCTCGGAAGACTTCCCAGAAGGCCAGGGGACTTCCGAGCCTTCTGAGAAGGCCCGCCCCTTCTCACTTCCCCCCCCCGGGCTCGCCGCCGATTGTAAGGGGGGCGAGAGGCAGAGGAGGAGAGGAAGCGGGGGAGCGAGGAGAAGAAGACAGAGGCAGGCCAGGGCCAAGGCCCCCCCCTTCTGACTTCCCCCCCTGGGCCGCCGACGGCGAGTGAGCTGGCACCCACACCAAGGCACCCACGGACGGAGCCGAGGCCAGCGGGGTGCACAGAGGTGGCAGGCGATCGACCTGCCCGCCCAGCAGGCTCGGTGGCGGCTGCCCAAAGGTAGCGCCGCGTCGCCGAGGCATCGGCGATGCAGCTGCGGCGCCAGGCTGGGGAGGATCGCGCTCCTGATCGCGCCACACCTCCGACATACAGCAGGGGCCCGGCCAGAAGAGACCTTCCAGAAGAATCCCAACCCTGGGACCCCAGGGCGTGCATGGGTTCCTGGTGTGGGAGCGTCACTCTTTCCAGAGCAAAACCGTCGAAACCCAAGAAACCCAGGGCACCCTGGAGGCAAGCTCCTCCTCCTCCTCCTCCTCCTCCTCCTCCTCCAGGGTGTTTCTTGGCATGGGCCTCCACTGTACCGGCTACGGGGCGCGATCCCCTGGCCCCATCTGCTCCAGCCCCGCTTGGCCTGGGCTCTCGGCGACCACCCAACGCTCCCCGGCCCACGGCCCACTGCAAGGGGAGCATGAGGGAGGGAAGGGCGAGGAGGAGGAAGGGGGCGGAGGGGGGAAGCTACGCCAGGTGCGCTCGCGTCATATCTGACGTCCTACCCCTCCCTCCCATCCCTTACAATGGCATAGATCTCCTCTCTATTCGCACAGTCGTATGTCGTAGCAGGGCATAGCATGCCATGGCATGGCATGGTGTTGAAGATCAACGCGTAGCCTGACATAGCATGGCGTGGCGACGCCCCAAAGTGGGGGGGGGCTTCTGCGACCCAAGAAATCAATTCACACCTAATGTGGCATCACTTCCAATGGTTTTTGTCGGGTGGGCATGTTCTAGATTTGGGGGCATATTTGCAAAGACCGATAACCATGCCGTGGCATGGCGCTAGAAATAATGACGCCAGCGATGCAGCGGGAGCACGATTCGGAACGAGCGGAAGCGCGGAAATGAGGCCAGCGCTGCAGCGGGAGCACCATTCGGAACGGGCGGTAGCCCGAAAGTGAGGCCAGCGCTTCAGCGAGAGCAGCATGTTGGGGGAAAAACAAAAAAACGGAAATACAACTCCCGGGAATCCGGTGTAAAAAAAACGTACGCGGAGGGGGGCCGGATATGTCCTGGACGTCACCAGGCGAGAGAGGAGAGCAGTACTCATATGCTGTAAGTGTCGAAGCCGACGGAGGCATGCGGGCGTCCCGCGGATGGAGGGAGCGGGAGGGCAGCGCGGAGGAACTGGAAGGACGAGGAGGGAGGAGGAAGGAGAGAGAAGCAAGGCCAAGCACGCGGGCACGTGGACGAGTCAACGCGACTCCAGGAAGGAAAGTACGGAGCAAGACAAGGCGGGGTAAGGCGGAGGAATCTGCCTTGCCAGGTGCCCTTGA